TGTTTTCCCCAAGTCCATCAGCACATCTAATCAAAGCTGTTGCCTTTCCTTACGTGGAGTTCTTCATTCAGGGCTAAATATTGAGCTTCCCTTCACACACTTTACAACAAAATGCTCTGTGAGACCTCAGACTAAACTTAAAAAATAAAAAAAGGAAAAATAAATCATAAACGTGTGTCAGATGCTCCAGCACCACAAGCTGAAAACAACAGCAAAACTGTTGGCCTATATATATAATTAATCAACCAAAACCAATAAATAATAAGCCAAGTCACACAAGGCCACTTGCACTCCCAGAGCCCTGAACATTTAATGAGGTTCCCTTTGAAGGTAATATGCCCAAAATGGGAGGCTCAGAACAAGCCACAAATATCAATATTGATTTCTTTTGGCGCTATCTTGGACAGAACCCCCTGGCAAGGACAGGCCTTTGGGCTGGAGCATTTTCAGTGTTTCTGTGAAAAATTAGCAAAATGCTAAATTTCATTTTGAATTTGAAATATGAATCTGAAATGTACTTTGCTCAAGCTTTCTTGAAGAAACAATTTATTATAGAACTTAATCTTCTTGATGAAAGAAAAGGAGATTTTAGCCTGCTAATAAGCTGTGTAGAAGCCATGACTAATTAACCTAATTATAGCAGCCTGTGACAAAATGTGATTGTACTAAACCCATGCCTCAAGTAACTGGAATTGTCAAAAACTCAAAGGCTAATAAACCAACAGACATTAACAGAACATAAACACTAATAAAGTTGACACCAACCATATTATTTATAGCAAAATCTATACTACAACCATCACAAAAGACAATCTGAAGGGTATTCAGTATCTGAGAATGTAGAATTTGCTATCTGAAAATCTGGAAATTCATAAAATACGTGCAGATTATTGACAAGAGATGCAGCTCTCGGAGCTGTGCAGCTCATGGTGCCAGGCAGGCTGGGGCTGGAGACACCTGAGCTGTGAAGCATGACTGGAAACCTTTCCATCCTGTCCTGTCCAAGTTCAGCAGAAGGGGAGATGCAGAGAAGCATTTCTGGGCATTACATAGTTTTCATCTCAGTCACAAACCCCCAAAGAC